GTCTGTGAAATCCACACACATCCACCATTTCCCCTTTTTTTACCATCACTATGTTGGAGATCCACTTGGGGTACTTTTACTCCCTGATGGAGCCATTTTCTAATAGTTTCACCACCTCCTTGCGGAAGACAACTTTGATGGCGGGGTTGAATCTGTGCATGACCTGCCTTACTGGGGGTTGAATGGATCGACGTTTAATTTGTGTGTGGATGTTTCCCTACGAATGCTCGGCATATCGGTGTGGTTGAGGGCAAACAAATCTGTATTAATTATTAAGAATTGACTGGATTTACCTGGTTCCCGAAGTTTGCAGAGGATGTAGGCCTTTTTGCTATAGTCATTGAGGTCCAATTGAACGGGGTCAAGGTCTTCTATGGCTGAATCCACAACCTCGACCATTTCGGGATCCGCGATGACGTCTTTGGTCTCTTCTTGCGTCGACCTCGACCCTGTTGATTGTTATGCCTCTTTTTGCTTGTCTTTTTTCTGTTGGGTTACCGTTCTGTCTAAGGTAATGTGGTAGCACTCCTGGGATGTATGTTGTTCTCCACGTATGCTGAATATTCCCCATGGTATTGGGAATTTAATTACCTGGTATAGGCTGGAGAGGATGACTCTCATGGGATGTATCCACAGTTATCCTATTATGGCATTGTATGTGGTGGCCTAGTCTATGATGTAGATTGTCATCTCTAGAGTCACACCGCCAGCCAAGACCGAGAGTGTAATTTCCTTTGATGTCAGCTCAACTACATTATTAAAATCGGTTAGCGTGATACATTGTGGCACTATCCTGTCCTCGTGTATCATTTGGGTGAGGACTCGGGGATGGATAATGCACGCTCCACTTCCATCGTCCACCATGATACATTTGACATCAGTATCTAAAATGCGTAAAGTAATAACGAGGGCATCGTTATGAAGGAAGGTTAAACTGTCGGCATCTGACTCATTGAAGATGATACTTTATTCGAGTCTATCGTGTCGTTCGCGAGTGATAGATCGCTTGAGCTTGTGAGTGGTGGTGAACTTCACGCCGTTGATAGAGAGGTCATCGCTGCCACCGATGATCATGTTCATAGTAAGATCTGGTGAAGGAAGCTTCGGCGGACCTCGGATTTCACGTCTTCTGGCAAAGTTATTTCTTCCCTTATCGCTTAGCAACTCTTTGAGGTATCCATGGCATAACATGTTTATGACTTCTTGACTAAGGGTGATTCAATCTTCTATTTGTGCCCACGTTCCTGGTGGAACTCACATAGGGTGTTGGATTTTTTGGTGTTCAAATCGGACTTTATCTTTGGCAGCCACTTTACCTTTGTTTCGAGTTTCTCAAGAGCACAGACTATTTCTATAGGTGACAGACAAAAATTATGAGCAGATAATAAGGGGGCATACCTCTCTCGTTCCGGTGAGTCCCTGTCCTCAACCTGGGTGGGCCTTCTTCATAGCGGAGGGAAGGTGTGGCGGGCGCCCTGACGGATGGCCGGTCGTTCCCTGTTGGATCGCGAGACCGCGTGATCCCTCATGATGTTGTCTCTTTGTTCTTTTCTGGATTCGGTTTGTACCGAGATGAGTCGATGAGTTGGTCTGTTGAGGTCATCCTCATCTGCTCGTACTTCGGCACAATAAGCATTATGGATTTCGTCCCAAGAGATTAGAGGATATTTCATCAATCGATTCAATAGTTTTCTAGTTGCTCGTGAACCATCTCTACTCAACCCATTCTGGAAAGCTGCGACCGCCATCCCCTCGGACACGTTCGGCAGAGTCATTCTTACCCTGTTGAATCAGGCGAGGAAGTCCCTCAGTCCCTCTCCCAAGGACTGCTTGACAGCGAATATGTCATTTACTCTTGTTTCGGCCTTCTTGGCTCCAGCATGTGCAGTTACGAACTTATCGGCCATTTCCTCAGAAGTTTCTATGGAGCGGGCTGGTAGCTTTGAGTACCATGTTAATGCCCCTCCCGTAAGGGTTTTGCCAAACTTCTTCAGCAAAATAGAGGACACATGTTCCTTGGTGAGGTCGTTTCCTTTCACGATGATGATGTAATGGGTCACATGATCTTCGGGATCGGTTGTTCCATCGTATATCCTAAGGTAGGACGACATTTTGAAGGTCTTTGGTATGGCATGCGGGGTTTTTTCGTCTTTGTACGACTGCTCTACAAACCTGTCGGTGTCCTTCTTTTGGCAACAACTTAGGAGCGCCCAGTATGTTGTCTTATCATTCTTGGTGTTCTTTTATCTAGTCCCGGAGTGCTTTGTTTTCATTCTCCATTTCCTCCATCCTCTTTAGAATGGTAGCGAGGGTGTTGTCACCTACACTATTAGTAATATTGTGAGTTATACCTGTTGTCGGAGGGTTTGGTCGGTTGCACTATTTGTCTGCTCGTTGTATCATGCAAGATCTTGCGGTTTTTGTAGTCTTGCCTAGAACGGGCTTGTTGAGCACACTCATTAGCGTATCAGTCAGCCATGCTTCGAGGAGCTTTTTCACAACTGGGGCATCCCTTCTTATCGGGACGTGGAGTCCCCTTTTCCATTGGGTTTTGTTATGCTACAATGGGGGGAGACGACCTCTCCCTCTCGCGCCTAGGGGAAGCGGTGGGTGACACGTCCTCACCTACTGTTTCACAGCTCTCATTGATAGCGTTCATAAGATTGCTAGGGAAATCACCTGTTACTTTTGTCCTTTTTCCTTGGTTATTGCCATATAGGTTTTTGTACGTACATAGAAAGAAGAAGATCTTGGGATTTATAAGATTAGTGACTTGCGTTAGCTATAGATGTAAAGGAAACAAAAAATTAACTAAAAAATCCCCACAGACGACACCAAATTGTTTGACCAAAATATAGATCTTGGTTCAACTAATTAAATTTAAGCAAATAAGGGTTAATCTTGGTTAATGATAATATCCTAAAAACGAAATTCTCGGTAATATGATAAATAGCACGTAGATCTATTCCGAAAGTTATGATGGTGCACAATAATGACAATATTCAAGAACCCAAACAAAAATAATATAGCATTAAATAGTGATGAATAGCAATAAATGACACTTATGTAAATAAAATGAAAGAGTCACCCGAGAAAGGATGAAATCAATGAATGTTCTTTCTGACAATGATGAATGATGGATAAGCCTTTGAATATCCGAGTTATTCTCGGATCTACTGAAAAAGTGTGGACAAAATCTTAGTGAAAAAGTTATTTTTGTAGGCTTGCAATAAGACTAGATTCTCTCTATAAAGTCAAAGTGTATTTTCAAATGAATCCCCCATCATTATGTCTCTTTCTATTTATAGGGAACATATTCCTAAAAATTCTAATAGTACAAGTGTAGAGAATATCCACTAAAATATTCTCTTTTTGTTATAATTTTATCAAGGGTATTTGACTTCAGTCTTTGTTGATTCTTTGACCACGACTTTTATTGTTCTTTAAACTATGGGTGTTAATCGGGCCGGGCTGACCCGTTTTCAGCCCGGGTCAGCCCGGGTCAGCCCGCTACTATTCACGTTGGGCTGGGTTGGGACGGGGGCCGGGTTGTGTATGTTCACGTTTAGACTAACGGTGCCCCGAACCCGTTAAACCCGAATTTCCTTAACGGGCTGAACACGGGCTGCAGCCCATTAGCAGCCCGGTTTCCGTTTGAATTTTTTTTTTTTAATTAAATTGGACTGTTCCCAACGGTCAAATTCAGAAATGACAGTTGGGGAACGGCCAGAAATTGCAGAAATGGCCAATTTCGGCCCCCTCATTAATAATATAACCCTCCCACCCCAAAATCTATAAATAGCCCCTCTTCTTCTTCATTTTTTCTCACAAATTCACTCTCTTACTACTCTAATTCTCTCCCAAGTATCAAACTCTCAATTCTCTCTTGATATTATAGTTCTTAAACTCTCAAATTCTCAATTATTTATTATTTCAAGTTTCATCAATTATTTAGTTTAGCCATTACAAAANAGAGTTTGTTCCTTACATTTGTCTATTGGTCTTATACTCTTATTAAATAATTTTTTGTAGCCACTTACTTTTCAATTTCAATTTTATAATTATAAAATACAAATTTCAAATTTAAAACTTTAAACTTTAAACTTCAAAGTTTAATTCTAACCCTTAAAAGTTTGCGAACACTTAACTATCAATAACATTGAATAAGAATAATAAAATTTAAATTAAAAAGAAAAAAGGAAAAAATTTGAGCCCGGCCCGCCCGAGCCCGTGTGAGCCCTAACCCGTGCGGGCCCACGAAAACCCGAAAAATCTCAGCCCTATAACAGCCCGTTATCCTCAGCCCACCCGCTAACCGAACGGGCTGGAGTTTTTCCCGTTCAGTCCGTCTCAGCCCGCCCGATAAACACCAATACTTTAAACCACTTCAACGCGTATCCTGACATAAGTATTCTTGAGATAGAATTTGACTTGGACACTATGCATATTCACATGGTCCATACGAAACAGACAAGTTATTAGTCTGCGCCCAAAACACTATTGGCGCCGTGGTCAGAGCGCTCACGTTGATGTGCGTGAATTCCAAGGACCTCACTCAGCTAGCATCGTCCCGCAGGCCGCAGCCACAATTTTGTGGGACCCATTTCACGTGGACTCTCAAAGCTTAATTTCAGAAACTAATACTTTCAGCATATTTAATGGCGTATGGTTGCATACAAAACTTAGGAGTGCTTTTTTTTTTTAACATAAATATTTTAAATTTTTATGTTTCAATATAAAATGTTATTTTTGTGATTTTTATGTCCTTAAAATTAAAATAAATAGCTAATATTAAATAATATCATTCTTGTGGAACACATAACTATTTTTTTGTTCGCTTTGGAATCACGTGACACCTTCACGTTGAAATGATTCAACTTGGTTGACGCTATTTTTCAATAGTAATTTTTATTAAACTTTACACTGCTCAGAATTTAATTTTAATATAGCATTTTAAATTACTTTTATTATCACTATATATATTAAACAGTCAAATGGAGTAACTCTCTTGTTTTCCTTGTCCTTAGCACGAATTGAACTTTTTGCTAAGCTTTTCGAGAACAAGAAAGTAGACCCTTTTCTAGATTTGCTTAAACTCTTTTTGGATTTTAGTCCACTGTCCAAAAATCACCATGAACGGGAAATGGAAAGCACCATTTTGCACGCTGTTGGTGTTGTACTCTCTGCTTCTATCCGCTTTATTTCAGAGCTGCTACTCTGCCTTTCATCTGCCTCGTCCCATATGGAAGAAGCAGCAGCAAAAATCTGGTTCCTCTTTTGTGTTCCCTCTCGCTGGAAACGTATATCCTAAAGGGTATTCACTTCTTTATTATGTATTTGGAATCTTGATTGTCAATTAGCCTTTTAAAGTTTTTTTACTTGGTTAAAGTTCACCAATTCTTGAAGGGTTTTCTTGGATATTTTTTTTCTTAAGAATTTGTGTGTGTGTGTGTGTGTGTGTGTTGTAATTAGTACTGTGTTTGGTGATAAATCATGGATGTTTCTTTAGTAATGCTGGTTTATATTGCTTTGGTTTACTAACTGGTACTGTAGTAGTCAATATTGTATGAAACAAAACTCTATTGATAGTTGATACTTATTATGGTTTGTAATAATAGTAGGAGTGTTGGCTGGTGAATCATACTTATATTGTTTGCTCATTGGGAAGAAATTGAAGAATAGTTTGAAGAGAAAAGGGGGAAATATATGAGAATTGGGGCCAATACAGTGAAAAGAAGGGATTTCTGATCTCAGACAGATGATCAGGCACTAATTCCTACTTTCTACTTGGCAATATAGTTCCTTCTGAATCTTGGCTTTATGATAGATATTAAATGAATGTACAAGCGCTGAAGGGAAAGCTGTGACTGATTTAAGTGATTGCTTCCCGTGTCTAAGCTTTGTAGACAGAGTTATCCAATACCTGTAATGGTGGGATATAGTAGGTTTCCGGTGGATTGGGCAAGGTCCACATAAGTTAGCCTAGGCACCACGTTTATTAAAAGACCAAAAGAATTAGCAAAAACAAAGAGATTATCTGTAAGTTTCAAGATCTGACATTCATATTTTTTCTTCTGTCTGAAATTCTGAAATAGACATATTTCCTGTACTTTCTTATCGAGGTGCTCTCTTTAAGTGCAGGTATTATCAGGTGACACTTGAGGTTGGCCAACCTCCCAAACCTTACTCTCTTGATATAGACACTGGTAGTGACCTAACTTGGCTGCAGTGTGATGCACCTTGTGCGAAATGCACCCCGGTATATTACTGCCTTTTCCTTGTCTGTAACTTAAATCTTTGAAGTAATGAAAGACCATTAATTCATCTGATATTTGTATGCCATTATATTATTGGATGTTCAACCCTAAAGCATTAGCCTATTTTGTCTTAACATCTGCATCAATATGCACCATCGCAGGCCCCTCACAGTCTTTATAAACCAAATAAAAATGTTGTCATGTGTAAGGATCCTTTATGCACGTCCCTTCACTGGCCCAAGAACCATCCTTGTCATGGCCTGGATGAGCAATGTGATTATGAGGTTGCATATGCAGATCGTGGTTCATCCTTGGGAGTGCTGGTCAAAGACATGTTTCCACTACGATTTACCAATGGTAGCATTGTTGTGCCTCATCTAGTATTTGGGTGAGAAACATTTAATGTACCTTTATTGACCTTAAAAATTCTTAACTCTCGATCCTTTTTATTTCTTTCACTCATATTCTTTTGTTAAATATGTGATGCTTCTAATTTGTGAGCTCCTGAATTGAGTCATCTTACATACTCTTTGACACCAAGTTTTTTTTTATTGATGAAATTGTTTGCTTTGCCAAAAGAGAAAAATTAATTGAGTCGTCTTCTGCAGTTGTGGTTACAGTCAAGAAGTTCCAGCTTCTACTCATCCACCTTTTACCGATGGAATTCTTGGTCTGGGCAATGGAAAATCAAGCATTGTATCACAATTGAGTGGCTTGGGTCTTATCCGAAATGTAGTGGGTCACTGTTTAAGTGGGCAAGGTGGAGGTTTTCTTTTCTTTGGCGATGATATTCTCCCCTCATCTGGAATTGCTTGGACACCAATCGTGCGAATATCTTCCGAGTATGTCCTCTACTATGTTATAGGGATTTTATATGGAGCATGTAAACTTTCTGAGCAAGATGTTGATGTATTACTATGATTTCAGAAAGCACTTCTCTTTGGGACCAGCAGAGCTCTTTTTTGATGGACAGGCCACAGGAGTGAAGGGCTTTCCTGTAATTTTTGACAGTGGAAGTACCTTCAGTTACTTTAGTTCTGAAGCTTACGATATTTTGGTATCTTCGGTAAGATGTGGAAGTGTTTTTATATTCCGAAATGCTTGACTTTCTGTCCGTGCACTTACAATAATCTATCTTCAGATAAAGAAAAACATAAATGCAAAGCAGCTGACTGATGCAGTGGATGACAAAAGCCTTCCTGTGTGCTGGAATGGTTCCAAATCCTTCAAATCTGTTAATGATGCCACGAGCTACTTCAAGCCATTAACACTGAGTTTTATGAAAGCTAAGAATGTTGAGCTTCAACTTCAGCCAGAGGCCTATCTTATACTTACGGTATGCACCTTTTCAACTGCTCCATAGGCTTTATATTATGTCTGGACTATATCAATAACTGATTTCTGCTCTTATTCTCTCAGGAGCATGGTAATGTATGCTTGGGCATATTGAATGGTACAGAAGTCGGATTAGGAAATTATAATGTGATTGGAGGTACAAAATCAGTCTCCACCGTCCTGCTAAAAGAATCCACGTACTTGCAAGGCTGTGTATTAACATTTAGAAATAACGATGGAATAGCATCAACAAAATGAAGAGAAAATGCAGTTCTTTATCTGTATGAATACTTGGAGAAAACTAGATTTTGATAAGAGGTGGTATCCAAGTTTTTTGTGCATTTAATCTTTCTCTTTCTGATTTTTTTTTCTCATCTACAGATATTTCTCTACTGGACAAAATGGTGATATACGATAATGAGAAACAACAAGTTGGATGGCTTCCAGCAAACTGCAACAGGCTACCGTATTCCCCATAACCTTTATTTACATTTTCTTGCTTCTCACATTAGTTGGATAGTTTATTCCTCACCAAAAAACATTTTTCATGAACAGTATCAGTCGTGATCATGGGGAATATTATTATGATGCATACCCTACCAACATGGGCATATTCGAACAGATATGTCCTGCAAAGTTTGATTCTTCAAAACAGCAGGCAAGAAAATAAGGTGACAAAGTGAGAAGCTAATGCGTGCTTCGAGCCATATTCTGTACATGTTGTAGAGTAACAAATGTAATTGGTCAGTCATTGGGAGTACAGATGTTTTACTGAAATGTTCTCTATGACTACACTAAGGATATAAGGTGTATCCCAAATACAAATAATGGTACAGGTCTAATCAACGAATCCTCTCCTGGCTTTGAGTATTACAGTTAGCTATACACTTTGGTCCCCCATTGTGATTGCTGGTTGTATGAAGTTTTGGCAATAAACGATGAGTTGACCAGTTGACACTTGGCTTATACCTGCGAGAAATGGAAACTAATATTAGATGGGCACTGCAAACAATTTCTTGAAGGCTACATAAAGATATAATAAGATGAAATCGTAAACTCAAATGAGTTCAAGTGGCAGTTTGGAAATAAATCACAAAGGAGTAAGGCATTAGTGCTGAATCGCAGAATTCATCTGGGAAAGAAAAGAAATATAGCAAAAGATAACTTTACTTTGTTGAAATCCCAGCTAAATCACTACCTGTATTGCCGAGAACCAATCGTGTTTTTAGCACGCTAAAAGAATTGCTCGAGTCAAGAAGCAAAATATGATTAAAGTGGGTTGAAATGGGGCCTTCATGATATTGCTGTACTTTCAGTGTTTTCTAGAATATGATTTCTATAGACCTTGCCTGCGTTATGATTTATCAAGGCCATCCCAGACTAATGCTTTTGGTGGATTCTTTACGAGCTGTCATATAGAGGTTTACGAAGATGGGTTTTTGAACAAACAGAAATGAACTTCAGTTCTTAAAATCTCCTTGCAGGCTTTTTTTTTATCTGTGTTTTGGTTTCTCAGCACATCCCAAACTCTAACGCTTTCAGTATTTTATTTACGAGCTGTCATGTAGAGATATTCCATTGTGTGGCAACAAGAGCCTCATGCACTAATTGACGATATTAACCTAATTACATCGAAGAAGAAAAACTGATAGCATGATTATAAATGTGGTGCAATACTATATTGATACACATACAGCAAAGCAATTCATCTATCCATCCTGGAAATGAAATTTTTTTCATCTAAGCAAACAATCAGTTTGTTGTGGCACAGTGACAAAAGGGAAACAATCAGCATTCAATTTATTTCAGCCATTCAACCAAGAAACATCAGTGTTGATTACATCTAATTTTGCTAAGTGTATGAGATTGGAGACCCGCCTTAGCTAAACACATTTAAGGATTATGCTAACAGAGAAAATCGAGATAGAAATCAAACTTCACTGAATAAAAATACAAGTCAATTTCGTGGATGGAAGGTTTTAAATCATGTCATTATCTTACCGATGCATTTAATCAATTAGTCATAGGGACCGAATAACATATCTATCTCTACGACAACAGCGACAACATACCCAGTATTATCCTACACCGTGGGGTCTGGGAAGGGTAGTGTGTACGCACACCTTACCCCTACCTTTGTGAGGATAGAGAGGCTGATTATGTTATCTCTAGAGAAAACATAATCAGGCCATTGACGAATAAAGTCTATTTGTGTTAGTTGTGGGAAGCTCACCTTAGATGTCCGGGGGGTCAAGGAACTCCAAGCAAAATGCTATAGAACATCGATTAAGCACTGCATATTCAGAAGAAATAATTGTCAATGCGAGTCCCAAGTGGGGAAAAATAGTTTTAAGAGGTTTTTCCAGTTAAAACAAGATATTCTTTTTCAAATTACCATCTCTTCCTGATCCAGAGGGAAAAACAAGAGGTAAGCCTATGCACTTATGGAAGGACATTTGAATATGCTGAGAAGAAAATACTAATTGTCTCGACAACCTTATACGAGATACCAACTGATCCACACCTAATACCACACACCAATAAAGACCAAGCAGACATCCTCAATAAAAGATGTAACTAAATTCTCTTACACTGCTCATGGGAGTGCTGAACTTTCCAAGACATTTATAAGTTCAGTGGTAATCACAAGACAATTTGATACCCGTATCTGAAGCAGCTGTAGCTTCAATGACTCTGATATCCCGGAAAGATGATGGATCAGCTGGCCAAGTTCCAGAAGGTAATAAATCTAATGAACAGCCGTAGACTTTTGCTCAATGCGACCAGACCCTCATGGAAAGATTAAAAATAAAAGGAACTATGAATTATTGCATGGTATGCACAACAACAGATTTTTCTAGACAACAATAACCATAAAGTAGTGACACAATTGAGTTTTAACCTGTGGTGGACATGGAAAACACATAATCAATGTTTTCTGCATTTCAACAGTCAAGGCTCCAGCTGAAACCATCCTAGAGTAATGAGCGAATCAGCTCCTAGCTACACTGCAAATCTACAAGCCAAGTCTTGGGAAAAGCTCTCAAGCTGGATTACTAGGACGCCAAAAACTACATTAAGCTTTCAACTGTGAACCTCCTTTTCCATGTAGATCTGTTTATGTATGCTACAGATGTCAATCTGTGAGGTTGTTTCACAGGCATGTAGACAGTTCTTCCACTTAGTCAATAATCAAACTTTCAAATATTTGATTTGCTTAGGAGGTTCATATCTGGAGAACCTAGCACAGAGAATACTACAGCAGTGTCCCTTAAATATCTTTAGTTCATTAAATAAACCATATATTGAAGAATTACACACGTAAGATTGAATTATCTAGGACTAGTGGTCTTTTTGATAGAACATATATTACTATGACTCAAAAGCATCATCAGTTCTTCCTGGTAGATAGAATTTCAGATGGAAATTCTTGGAAGACGACATGAGCAAAATACACAGTGACAATTGATCTAAAGATACTTAACATAATCACAACAAAAGTGGAAAAAACACTTTCTGTTTCAGTCAATTAACAAATTTAATGCAGGGAGCGCTCTAACCTTTGCACGACAAATCTTGGTAATGGCCTCAACGTGAAGGCTTTGCAGCTCTTCGAGTGCATTAATATCCAAGCCACCCAAATCATCACCCTAAATCCAGTAAAAAATGTGATTTATCTAGTGATATCCAAATAAATGCCACATCGATAACATTGTGTCTCAAGTGAAGAGTGCAAAATGCGACAAGCACAAGACTCCCGAGTCTTTAAGCAAGAAGCAATGCTCGCAGTTCTTCATAGTAAAGCTCACAATTTAGAGAGAAAAAGTTACCCAACATATTTGCAATTAAAGTTATTAATTTCGGCATCCACTAAAGAATAATGACTATAAATCTTAACAACTCAACTCGAACACCATTAAAATGTAGTTGCAACACGCCCACAAAAATATAACCTCAATTGAAAAATTGATAATTACTTTTCAATTTCATAGTTAATTGCTCTTGTAATTCTTCTTAATTAGCTTCAATTGCAAGAGCCAGTTTTTATTTTCCAAACATCAGGCTATAAATCAAGAGTTAGGGATAGTAAATGAAGCATGGAGCAGACAAGAACAGGAAAAAAAACTCATTGCTATCAAAAAACAGTAGAAGTAACAAACACTAGAGAAGCTCCCAATCAAAGTTAGCCAAATAATAGTCATTTGATGAAAGTGTTAGTAGTTCACAGAATTAGTTAGTTAGCTACAACGTTCACAGATTAGTTGGTCAGTAGCATTCAAGAATTCTACTCTCTCTCTCTCTCTCTCTCTCTCTCTCTCAAAAAATGGGTAAGGAATTCTTCTTTGGAGTTTTTAGAACTCTGCTCTCCATCATTTGCTCTACAAAACACGTGAAGTAATAGCAAGGTAGTAGCTTCGGGGAAAAAGCATATTATTCGGACACCAACTTAAATAAGGCGTGGAAATGGGGAAGATCATACCTTTAATCTTGAAACTAAATCATCTAGTTCCTTGCACCTTTTCCTTTCCTTATGGTAACGATGCTTCAATTGTTCCAATGCATCCGCAGCAGGAATGTTTTCAAATGTCTCACTATTATTAAATTTTTTCTCCAAATGACCATTGGACAAGGAAATGTCATTTCTTAATTTTGCTTCCAAGATATTAGACACATCAGACCCCTCAAATGAGACAGTCTCAGGAATAGGACCAGATTTCCTCATCTTTGCAACAAGTATCCACATATTGGCAAGCTCATTCTCCATATCTTCTTTTCGCCTCTTTGCTTCATCAAGTTGTTTTCGTAGTTCACTTTCTATTTTATCTCTCTCATACAATGCAGCAACCAAAGAAGCCTCTCTTTGATGTCGTGCATTCAGCTCTTGCTCCAACTCATCCACCGATAAGAAATCTTCTGTCTTCCTAACATGGGCATCAGGTCGACCTCCACCATCACCATCTTGCTTCATATCAAATGAAGCAGATCTCCTACAGCAGTTATTTTTGCAAGGGGCATCTTTTTCAGCAGCGAGTTTGGCATTGAGGTAAGAGAGCTTTGTTACCTCTTCAGCTAAGTTTCGGAGCTCAACTGCTGCTGCTGCTGCCAGCTCTTTTGCATAAGAAGCTTCCTCAGCTAGCTTTTGATGGTGAATTTCTAACCCTTCCTTCTCCTCGACAATTTGCTCCTTCTCTTGTTTCAGGGACTCTATCTCAGCAGCCTACGAAGAGAAAAACATGAAATATATTATATTTATAAAAATTGCATCAAAAGCAAAAAATTAAAGGAAAGCCTACCTGTGAAAGAAGCTGAGAGTTCAAGAATGCATCAATACTGCATTCATTGGGGACTTCGTGCACAAGTCTTTCATTTGATCTCATAATACTAGTTTGAGTACTTTCATTCGGAGTTCTTTCTTCATATGAACAAACCCCAGCTTCCCTTTCGAGTTTAGCTTCTGTATATTCATCCGAATACACTGCTAGTGTGGCAGCGTCATGATCTGCATCCTGTTGCTGGCACGCAGAACTTTTTTCTGATAATAAGGAATCAAGTTGTTGCCTCAGCAGAAGGATAGTTTCTTGCATCTCAGAATTCTCGGACATCTTCAGGGACCAAATGATTTTCATTAGAGTTCAGAAGAATGTAACATCAGAATAGCAGATCATAGAAAGACTACAAATTTACCTTCACGTTTAGTTGCTCTTGCAGTACTCTGTTGTCTGCAGATTTAATCTTTTCATGATGACAAACTTAGTCGAGTTAGTCCAGCAGCATTTAATTACGTAGTTAATATCAAATGTTTGAGTCTAACCCAGCTCAAAAAAAACTTGACCATACCTCCAGCTCGAAGGTCTTTTCATTTAGCTGAGCAGCTAGCTTGGACAATGCCTATATTTAAGTAAAGTTAGAATTCAAATTATATTCTGTGACAAGAAACGACACATGGTAAGAAACTAGTCATGGACTTGGGATGTGTCCTGCAAGCACTAACTGTCCTGCAAGCAATAACGTAGCCTTTTGTTCTTCCATCTCTCTTACTCTCCTGTTTGGTCTAGGAGCAAGACACATTTCAGTGAATAGTGTTCCTCTTTAATTGGCTGCTCATATCTTTTGATAGGCAAACATTGATCTCACTAAAGAGGTATCAACAGATGCTGGACAATTACAGTCAAAAGGGTACATATAGGATATACAACAACAACAAACCCAGTGTAATCCCGACCAACAGTAAACACAAGAAAAAAAACAAAAGACACTATGTGTAACAAAGATCTAAAAATAAGAAATACAAGAATACTACTAACAATACCGGTAAGAATGACACAATATGGAATAACAAAGGTCAAGGAACACAAAAATGTAAGAATAATACTAATACTACTGGTACGATTAGGAGAAACCCTCGACTACCTATCAACCTACAATCCTAATTCTCAATCTCCACACCTTCCTATCGAGGGTCATGTCCTCGGTAAGCTAAAGCAATGACATGTCCTGCCTAATCACCTCTCCCCAATACTTCTTTGGCCTACCCCTACCCTTCCTCAGACCCGCTATGGTCAACCTTTCACACCTCCTAACCGGAGCATCAATGTCTCTCCTCATCACGTGTCTGAACCATCTCAGCCTCAACTCCCGCAATTTGTCTTCCACAGGGGTCACTCCAACCTTGTCCCTAATAACTTCATTCCTAATCTTATCTTTCCTGGTATGCTCACACAACTACCTCAACATCCTCATTTCGGCTACTCTCATCTTCTGGAGATGGGATTTCTTGACTGGCCAACACTCAGCACCATACCACATAGTCGGTTTAACTACCGCTATGTAGAACTTTCCCTTAAATCTTGGTGGCACATTCTTATCACACAAAACACCAGATGCGAGCCTCACTTTCATCCACCCCGCTCCAATACGTTGTGCAACATCCTCGTCAATCTCCATGTTACCTTGGATAACAGACCCAAGGTACTTGAAACTATCTCTATTGGGAATGACTTGTGTACCAAGCTTCACGTCTGCTTCTGCCTCATGCGTCCCCTCACTGAACTTGCACTCTAAGTATTCTGTTTCGTCCTACTCAACTTGAAACCTTTAGACTCCAGAGTATGTCTCTAAAACTCCAACCTAGCATTAACCCCACAGCGCGTCTCATCAATCAGCACTATATCATCTGCAAATAACATACACCATGGCACCTCCCCTTGGATTTGTCGAGTCAACACATCCATCGCCAGAGCAAATAAAAATGGACTAAGAGCCAATCCGTGATGTAACCCCATCAACACTAGGAAGTGTTCTGAGTCTCCTCCCAATGTCCTCACCCGAGTTTTAGCACCATCGTACATATCTCTAATCACCCTATTGTATGCTATTGGGATGCCACTAACCTCCAAACATTTCCATAGGACCTCCCTCGGGACTTTGTCATAGGCTTCAATGAACGCCATATGCAAGTCTTTTTTCCTCTCCCTATACTGCTCCACCAGTCTCCTCACAAGATGAATGGCTTCTGTGGTCGACCGTCCCGGCATGAATCCGAACTGGTTCTCAGAAATAGACACGCTTTTCCTCGCCTCCTCTCCACCACCCGCTCCCAAACTTTCATAGGATATAGAGCAAGACACAGATGATAATAATCACCAAGGCTTGGTGAATTGTTTTAATTCCTCAACTATAAGCTACAATTCCCAACAGCATGGACATGAACCTTCGGTGCAGCACAGGATAGCAGAATGTAAGACCCTGAAAACACATAGGCCATTCCAGGTAAATTAGGCAGTCCCATTCCATTAAAACTTTGCATTACTCAGTTTGCCAGGGAGTTATATTAGAGTTCATTAGGGATTTTACTTCCGAGAAACTTCTTTGACCTAGGTTTAGGGTTATGGTCATATTGGAAACTGTAAGATTCTTAAAGAATATGCTACAAGAAGAGTATTTGCCAGAGATGGAGGTGAAAAATGACAAGGATGAGCTCAAGAAGGTCAAACAAGCCTTCAAAAAAGGATGGTTTTTTCGTTCAAATTGGGTGAACAGTGGAACCTTCCCTATTGTGAACCAAACCAACAAATGCAGAAAAGCAAAAGAATAAAGGTTTTTACTGAACTTGGCCCAATTCCAATTGAATCGCATTGGTCATCAATCCATCAAAATGCTATAGGATTATGGACTTCATCAATTTAGGCCCGTTCTAGATTAGGTAGCTGCTTCAGAGTTTCACTACAAATATGTATGCTCCTATAAAACTCCAAACTTTTCCAAATAGATTATGTATTAAGTATCACTTTTTTCAAATTCACCTGAGAAATCTCAATATTGAGTGAACCCTGATGTGTCATTTCTACTGATCCAACCATGTGTTGCTCCAGGCGACGCATCTGAAATTTTTTCTCTCTGATTTCATCCTTTAAGTTTCGCATTTGCTCCTAATCATGAGACAATTATACAGGCATGATTACTCATACACATTCAATATCCATCATATCTGGGAAAAGATTATAAAGTTCAACGTCAATAAATGGCTAACCTGAAGCTGCAAGTTCTCAGGATTCTTGACTGATTGCTCTGATACTCGTTTAAGAGAACTAACACATAATGCAACCTCACCAGCTAGCATCTTCACTTGCTCGTGAAGAAGATCCATTTGATCAGTTACAGTGGTCCCAGTCTGCAGAAGAAGATTGAGCATCTTAGCAGAGTTATAAGCAGAAGACAACTATAAAACCATTATCCATGAGATTGCATACAAGGCTGACAGTTTACCATACATTAACAACCTATAGAGTGCACAAAGAACATGATTTTGGGAGATGTCATGACATACAAAACCTGGAAGCCAATTGTATCTTTCTGTTTCTAAGCCCCTTTAACCTGAAGTGAATTTGATCTTGCATCTTAAAGGTACCAGTAGCACATGCATTAAGTTAATTACTTCCGAAGAAAAAATTAAGCAGTTCTCTAACCAAAGGTTTCCAGCTCTACCTATTTAAAAAGAAACACCTATAACTCCAACTGCTCCAACTGAAGATTGAACATCTGGAAAAAGCATCTGTAACCACGTAATCAACTCTTACAGCAGAATACAAATGAGTTTGAGGCCTTACCACAGCCAAAACGTCTGATATTTCCTCAAAGTTAATGAAGACACTAAGGAGGACCAGATAACATGACATTTGTCTTAGCACAAGAAGTAAAGAAAACCACGGGTTAACATAAGGTAGCTTTTAAGAACGGGCAAGAATCTTCTTTAAAATTTATTTAAAAAATGCTTAATTTTGTATATATTTAAACTTTTTAAATAGATAAGAGGACAAGTTCAGGTTGAAGGAGTGGGTGCAGAGCTGAGAATTTGTTAAAATAACTGCAAGAAACCAGCTGGGTAAAACACATGAATGAATTTACTGGATCGACTACATTTTATTAAATTACATATTATTGAAGAAACAAGGTACGACATGTCATCTAGTTCCATCAACTACCCAAGACAAACTAAGTTCTACAAAAAAAAAAAATCCAAACTGCTTTTCTTCATTCTTCATATCAACTAACCAGAAATTAAAACAAAATTAGAAGAACTTACTGGTGGAAGTCGACCTCCAGTAGCTGCACTGAACAAATCACCTGCTTGGGTTCTATCTGGGACAAAGTCTACCGCTTGAACATCATCCCCTCGCTTATTAACAGATCTTCTCCGCCCTTCCTTCATATCACTGAATGTGACTCTACTTTGCAATGACTTCAACGAGAATGCAGGTGAACCACTTGCAGAGCTTTCATAATCAGCACTTGGTGATGATCCAATCAGATTTTCGGGCTTCTGTAGCATAAACTATGCATTAGTATGTTTTTCTAAGAGTCAAATGTCTTCCATTGACATCATACCAAGACGGTAAATCATTAGTATCTTAGAGCAGATTATTTCTAGAGCAAGGAAATAATCATTGTAAGATGGCAGATTTTTTAAAAATTAACTTCTGAATACATATCATTGTTGAAGGACAAACACTGAAGATATCAGGATAAAACTTCGATACTTAGGAGACGAATATTATTGTGCTTCTCTTTTCCTTTTTCTTTTGTTTTGTCATTTAGTACTACACAATCTACCTTTTAATTTTGACAATGATGTTCCATTTCATGCTATAACAGATTTATTCTTCCATTTTAAGTCTTGGTATGGGAAATTCTTCCAATGCATTATCCAACCCGCAAAAGTGAAAGGATGGATTCTTGTATCTCAAAAGTATGCCAACCAGAAAAGATTAATCCACCTGCTATCCGTCAATATCATATTCTTCTGATATCTAGCTAACATATCTTAAGAGTTAAATCTTTTGCGCGCAACCTTGCATATGCCAATTTCTTGCATGCTTAACTTTTCCTTCTTTGTTTACGTAATAGGAAACATTCACATTTTATTTTACCAGCTGGAAATCAGTGATTGAGATTCGCTGTTGCAGTAGCATTAGAAATTTATGCCGCGCACTAGTGACTTGTCACATTCTGAAAAGGTCTTATATGAAGAGGATTGAGAGATATTAAAAGTTTACTTTTAACTTGAACCAGCCAAGCATCCCTCTCCTTCTGTTTCTTCTAAAATCTTTGACCAATTCATCAAGGTTTGTGACACCCTCTCTTCCATCGGCTGATAGTTCAGAGTCAATGCTTCCAGCATCCTCATCTATCATGTATTCTCGTTTTCTATCCGGTAAGTAAGCCAGCTGCATGATCAGTGAAGATAAACATGTACATCATGATAGAAGATTTATGAGCATACGGGTACGTTTAGCAACATAAAGCGCTCTATATATGGTAATATGTCTTTAATGCTTTTGTAACACAAAGTATTATCAGTTCGATTACTAGTCAGCACATTATGTATAAGAAGCTAGCTGTTACCTCATCTTCTCCGAAAGAATGTCTGCGTCTATGGCCAGGCTTTTCATGGATATCAGGTTGCATTGTACTTTTTGTAGAAACTAAGATTAGTTTAGTTAATCTTTGTATCCTTCCCATCAATGCTGCTTTCGCTTGTTCCTCCTCTTCCAATCGTGATTGTAACTTCACCTGCCCAGCCTCTAACTGCATCACATATAGAAAAAATGAAAAATATACACCAGTTAATTAGGCATGTAACATAAGTCCTAATATCCTGGGAAGCTGCCTCTTTTCTTCTGTGTATATTTTTTTAAGTGATCACTGCTTTTTGTTTTCTGCATATTTTCTTGTGTGTATCTGCTTGGGAGTTCATAGTTTCCCAACAATTTTATACAAAAAAGGTATTTCCTCTGCAAAAAAGGTGTACCATCCCTTGCTGCATAATCTAGACCCTATGGAGAGAGGAATCAGAGATGTTGTTTTTTTTTTAAAAAAAGCAAGCAAAAATCTTATTGATGAGCTCCATGAGTTCTAGGTCCACAGGAGTCTCTGTTGATAGAGACGTGGATCAGTTGGACGAGACTGTTACTAACACCATCTATATACAAAAAGGTTTTCTGGAGCTTCAGATTAACAAGTACATGGTGTGTATTAATGGGACATACCTGGAGCTTCAGATTAACCAGATCATCTTCACTGGGTCCCACTTTCTGATTTTCCATAATGCCACGCTTCAGAAGATCAAGCTCTTGTTTCAAACAGGATATTTCTCTCTGATACTTTTTGATGAGAGACTTCTCATCTATAATCTGAAATAGTTCAAAACACATGAGGTATAATTGCAATGCAAATGGTTATGTTATAGCAATAGCATTTTGCTCCTTATGCTTCCCCACAAAGTCTCACCTTATTCTGTGATGCTTTTATTTCCACATGCTTAGTTCGATGAGCAAATTTCAAGGTGTTGTGTGTCTCCTCTGTGTTGCTGGAGGCTGGTGTTACCGTGCAAATGAGCTTTAGAAATATCCAAAAGAGTGAATCAGTGCTTAGGTTTTTTTCTTTTGCTGGGGTAAATTGAGAAGGGGGAGTCCGTGCAACTCAAACTCAGAGTTCGGTTCAAAGCACTGTAAGAAGATAATTGACAGCTGGCAAAGCTGATTTACTACAACTTACGGAAACTAGACCATGTCCACTGAGTGATGACTGCAACAGACGTGTAAGCTTTGAATCTCGATATGGGATATGAGTAGATTTTTCATCTGTTAGTTTAGATATAACCTGCATCATTGAATGTTGATAAATTGATATACAAATTCCAGCACTATACTCCAAAGGTAACAGCTGAAACAATTAATTTGTGCATTCTAAAGAAGAATTCAGTGTTCAATCTGGGGGAAACGAAAGGGACTGTTGATTCAGGAATAGTTTTAACCTAAGATGAAGTGTAAGGAGACATATAGACAAGGGAAGTTCTCATGAGTAAAAATACGAAAGAAATAGCTTACAGTGCCAAGAGTGAGTAAGCTCTTGTTTATGAATGAACCTTCTTTCCTTCTTAACCCAGTTGTCTCAGTCTTGGAACTTTCAGAGCCTGCCAAATCAATCAGATGCTACAAAGAAGATTTGAGTAAAGCATGCATGAACAGCATAGTGAGGACAGAACGAGAAGATAAATTCTAATTACCCGAATACCATACTGACAACTTTAGTCGAAAGAAAATGTATAGTCTAGTGAACTATAGGCTATAACATCAAATAGCTAATAGGTAAATTTCAAAAACAAAATGAGTCAAAAGTAACACTAGCTACCAGCTGCGACAGAGCTACTTCTTCCCCTTGATTGCCTCCTCGTGAACTGCTTTCAATTGTCTGGCACAGAAAACCACTTATTAGATAGTGCAAATTTGACTAAAGGAACATCATTTTGTGACATAAAATGGGACAAAAGAAAAAAATACATATAATTACAAATTGAGCATCTGCTGTATAGTCAGCAACATGATCAACTTCAATTTTATCAATAATCAAACAGAAGATGATTTCATGAATTTTCCTTTATGAGCCGAAGACAACATTCAAAAATCCTAGTTCACTCCTCAATTTCAGGCCAAGGATCAAACTCTGGCAGCTTTAGTTAAATTGCATCTCTATCTTAAGTCAAGGCAACACATTGAGTTAATTACCTATTTTGTCTTTGCCCCTAATTCTTTAGTTTCAAAACATATCAAAATTACCGGAGTACCCAAGTGGGACTTTAGCAATACTTTCCTTAAATGTGTTGCAGAATTATTCACTTTGGGTATTGAGCTACTATGTGCAAAATGTTTTTTCGTCACCTCCATCATTTACTTATGCTGCACTAGTCCTACACAAAACTACGCTCGAACATGGGATAATAATCATTATCTATGAATATCCAATAACAAATAATTAGATAAGTGTTTATCAGCTAGAACACAGCAAAGAAGACATCCTTGTCATTTTCTGAATGCACAGAATACACTAGAACATAGTTTCAAGGGAATGAATGAGATAGCTATTACCAAAGTAAATATTGTATGGCTCCGACTGCTCAGTAAATTAAAGTTGTTGGAACCCACATGTCTATGCTCTGTTTCAATGTGCCATCAAAGCCAAAGATACATGTTAAGAAGTTTCCTTTGGCATCTGGTGAAATGGTGACACATCAATACTTAGTAGAAAACAAGAATATCAAGGTCACATTAATGCTTAAGATTTTCTGAAGAAGACAAACCAAGCTAATTGATTATTGCAAAATTTGCTTTCATTGGAGATGGCTTGGGTGATGGGCATGCTTTTTGGGAGAGATGAATATTTATCAGTACATGTCAAGATAGGTGTAGATGAAACTGCAATTAAACAAATATTGCCAATTGTTTTCTAATATATAGACCAAAAATTAGCACTATACATGAGATAGAAGAAATAGAAGATGTTTTGAAGGTTTGGCTGATGCGGTTCACAATAATAAGCAGCAGTTTCTAATACTTCTTTTTCATGTAATCAAGACTCGTATAAAATATGTTAAGCTATCGAATTCTTTAGTGATGTTCATCTGTAAATCCCAATATGAAGGCATTCTGGCACAAATTAGTACCACAGCCTTCTGATCAAAGAATATGATTACTTATATAAAGCATCACAAATAGGTTACTGCAATGAGTAAAAGCAACATGGGCTTGTTACATGCAGGTAATGATAGCAATCTCTCTTTAGATTATAAATAGACGAGATTTACAACCTTCCCCAGATGCTATTAAGGAAAGTGCATGAGCAGGGGACAGAACAACTTCCTCCTTGATTCCTTCAACATACGTCCCCTGCATCTTTCAATTAAATTGTTAAAACTTCAAATGATAAGCAGCTTTCAAGAAAACTAATCACATCAAAGAAAAAAAAAGGAAAAGAGCTCCCAATTTCATAGGAATCAATATAACTGACTGCTTAAAAGATAGCTCCCTCACCACCTTTCAGAATAGAAACTGGAACATGGAAAAGGAAGTCCACATGGAAGCAAATGAAAAGAGAATAAACAGGACTTCAAAGGCAACATTGGACCCAAAAAACTAAACTACAGTACTCTTGCAACTCAGGGACCGTATCTCCATTTAGATGCTGCATAAACCTCTGTAAAGACCATTCAATTCCAAAAAAGTGGACAACTAAGAGATCCAAATATCCAAGTTAAAGCATAAGATTCTATGAAGATTATTTTGTTCCTCCCGTGTAAAAGATAATCCAAATTGACAATAACTTCACAATGTTTATAGCTGATAAAGAGCTAATCATTAAAAGAAAAAGATAAAAGAGCTAGTCATACAAAGTAT